CTGTCCTCAACCCATACGGATGCCATACTTTGAGAAGCCCATAGACGAATTTTTTTTCAATGCTGCTATCTCTGAGCTTCATTCCAACTTGTTTTTCATGTGTATTTTCGAAACTCTTGATACTCCACTTTATTGGTTAGCTTTCGGCATATAATGCCTTCTTCAGACCTTAACTTTACAATACATAGCTCGTCGTTCCAACTATGTATTGTAAATTTAAGGTCTGAAGAAGGCATTATATGCCGAAAGCTAACCAATAAAGTGGAGTATCAAGAGCTTCGAAAATACACATGAAAAACAAACTGTCGAGAAGTCAAGTAGGTGGTAGACGAATGAATTGCGTCACACCTCTCTTCAGATTGGAGGGATAGCATCATTGCCCTGTATGGTTGATGGAGAGACTTGTGGCTAAAAGGATTATTAACTTGATCACTGATCTAAGTTGATTGCTGTAGTTATTTCACCTCGGAAAACCGACTGAGTTTTCTCAAAACATTCGAAATTTCATTCGTTCTAGTAAACCCTAGCAGTAAATTTCTTGCAGTGTCAGAGGTACAGTTTGGAACAGTTCCATGCACCTTTATTGAATTACACTGTGGAAGTGTTGGTGCAGAAAAGTTCATCGGAGAAGAGAAAACATGAACAGTTCTGAAAAAACTTATGACGACTTATGCTCCGATTCCTATCAGCTTCTACCCTGGGTCACAAGAGGAGGTCATCGCAAGCTGCACTTAATACAGAGCGTTCAAGCCTCAGGCATCATTTTTTTTGTTAATCGTGCTGGATCAATATACAAACAGCTCATTGAGCAAAGTTCGCTTCCTATATACACAACGTTCTCAAATCTTATCTCAGCCGTACTCTCCTGCGGTGAACTATTCTTTTCCCGTTATGTTCAATCCACAGTATGTATCGGCGGTTGTATCTTTCCAGTTGAGTTTTATGTATGCCTGTTGTATCGTTTTCTAACTCGTTTTATACTTTATGCTTTTCTAACTCGTTTTATACCTCATACTTCTTATTTAATGACCTACTGGCTTCACACATGCTTGACATGTAATAAACAAACAAACAAACTAAGGAAGTGTCTGGACGAAAATTTTGTCACGGAGGAGTAATGTGTAGTGGCTGTCAGTGTGTATCAGCTGACTGCATTTAAACGAGCGTTCTACTTTCTGAATAGTATCGGTCTATGTCATTTCTGTTTTAAATTGCAACAACAANTTCTTGATTGTAACTAAAATGTAACTAGAAAATATGTTGGAGAAACGTTTATTCGTTAAGATGTTGGCAAAATTAGTTTGCGCTCGTCACAAGCCTCGACAACAAACAGTACTCCCATTCGAATTTGTTCCGATCGTTTTCGAAGACACTTCTATTGGAGATGTGCGTATGCTGGGAGGAAAACTTGGTCACGCACTACAGGATCGCTTTGCTATCGGTGTGAGTGGAATCACGGAAACATCTTTTTAAGAAAAAATCATCGGATGTTTAGACTATGGCACAGCTCGCAGCCGTTCCGTTTGAAAAGATTGAACAATATTTCGGAAGCCAAGCACAATGGATTCATCAACTGGCCAAAGGATTCGATGATGAACCGGTGCGTTGTCGTTGTCGATTGACATTTCAATCCAATTCGAAGCGCCTTTTTCGTGCAATTGTAAGCAACAGTGCGAGATCGGTGCCGTCAATTGGATTGAAACGCCATCGAGACGTCAAATTGTAAGAATCAAATCCTCATATTACAATAGTACGAAGTGATTTCTATTATTGATTTACTGTCAACACGTAAAGGCCCAGTTCACGATCAATATGGGTAATCCAGATCATGACGAAAAATGGAAGTTAAGATGGAAACTGGTGTGATGAGGGAGAAGGAACGGCGTGAATCGGTCTCTCCGAGGTGAAAAAAGACTTCGAAAAATCGTTGAAATCGTGGACGAGAAAGAGACTGGAAAAATAAAGAAGGTAGAGGCGTCTGGACGAGCTATACAGTGTGTGTCATTCATTGCCTGTGTGTGGGTCGTGGTGACAATAGCTGAACCCGGTAAGCCAAAATGCATTCACTCATAAGCATAAATTAAGAAAAAAAACTTGTAACAGCGAAAATAGCCCACCTTTCTTAGTCTATAGTGGTAGAAATTTAAGTGAGGGATCGCAGCAGCAAAAAGAATAATGGAGGACAAAGGAATAGCAAAAAAACATCGCATAATTACTCGTCCGTCGGAAGTCGTCGGACCTCGGAAGTCCGGGCGATCCGGTAACGGGGCGCCTTCTGTGGCCTAGCTGTTGAGTTGTGGGACTCGACAGCGTCCTTCCTGTTACCCTTGGGACATCTGGGTATTCTTAGGGCGAAAACTCAGAAAACATCGTAAACTGTGCCTTTAACATGATGTCGTAGCAGTACGGACATTTGATCATACCGAACCGGGCCTTGATTGAGCGACCAGTGAGCTACGCACGCTCATGCTTGCACCACATGCCACAACCGCTCATCTGCGATCTTACTCGAGAGCAGCAGTAAAACATTTTCATGTTCCGTATAAACGACATTGCTTCACCCAAAATCCCCCTTAAGTTTCATTTCTGGAAATCGCGCATTAGAGTTAAGCACTCAAGAGCAAAACATCCTTTCAAGAGCGTAGTTGTCATTACATTTATATTGAAAATGTCGTTCTAGTTTGATTAGAGGAAATTTCACAACGGGGCGGAGGTGCAGGAAAGCACTGACTTGTACATCGGCCGGCCACCGCAAGTCATTACACAGACCACATACGCATTCAAGACTCCACTACGATTTTGAGTGGAAGTCGGATGCGCGGGATCCTTCTGACGGGATTGATTAACGCCCCATAACATTATTTAATTGCGCATCAGAAAGTAATGGAAAACAGACAGCAGAGTGTTCGATGAGGCCTGATACAAACAGATGCCAGTGTTAAACGTCTCCTACCCTACATTCTCTCTTCTCTAAAAAAATGGTGAGCCTGTGATCTACTTCCCCACTGCGCTCTTGTGATCTTCCCCAAATTTGAAATCGAGTAGATTAGGAGGATCATTTGACCCTACTAAACTACTCTACCTCGAGTTTGTGCCCCATAATTGGCGTCAGAGTTTACGAACGTGCGTCCGAGGGTGCGCGCGGCAAATTGCGCGGCGAAGTTCGTAATGTTTTGAACGACTTTGGCGCCCATCATTGGGGCCCAAATTTGAGATAGAGAGGATTAGGAGGATCATCTGACCCTACTAAACTACACTACTTCGAGTTTGTGCCCCGAAAATCGGCGCCGCAGTCGTTCAAATCGTCACGAACTTCGCCGCGCAATTTGCCGCGCGCTCCCTCGGACGCACGTTGTACCGTCCCCCGGCCAGCCGCTAAGTATGTTTGTGCTCTTACACACTCACGCGAGTCCGGTGCCAAATAACCGATCTTGAGTGAGTGATGAAAGTTTGAATGGCCTGGGCTAGTACCCAGGCCATGCTGGTGCAATAGCTCCACTCTTGCCATTACACCTATATAGCCATTGTTTAGCCTGGGCCGAATCTGAACTGGCATAGACTGACCATGATTTCTATTTCAAAGGGGCCGGTCAATTGGAAATAGACTCTTCTGGGAAAATAGAAGCACTTACTTGCACATAGACTGACAACTGCAAGTCATTGCATAGGCCACACACACATTCAAAACGCTGCTACGATTCTGAATGGAATCGGAAGGGTGGTCGGGTTGAAAGTTGGTTCCAATTAATGCTAATGCTGTTATTCATCCTTGACTGGCCTAGTCATCTGCTCTAGTTATCGTAGTCCAAGTGGCTAATCAACTAGAGGAACATAAGGAGCTAACCTGTTTGCATCACAAATTCATGTGTTATGCAGCTCATAGTAAGAATACTGTAGCTTTCAAGCCTTTTAGTATTAATTTACTTTAGAACAGTAGAAAGTTCACACATTCAATTGATGTGAAGTAGACAGCATTCTTTATCAAATATGTACCTATCCGTTTAAAGGCACGGTCCACGATAATTTCGAGTTGCTCTTCTCGAGCTGAAAAGTGGAAGTGTTCGTGGGAAGTAGTGCATCAAATCCGAAAGAAGTAGAATAGAAATTTGCCGTCTTCGTGAGAAAGGCAGTCTTTTAAAAGTAGTGAAAATAGAGGGTGTACGAAATAACCATGAAGGAAACGGCATAAAAGGGTGTTCGGACGAGAATTCAGTTGTTGCAACTGCGCAAAAGGAGGACTCATTAGGCCGAAATTCTTTGAAATTGCCTTCCATTCCACTCCATGGATCATGACAAAATTTTGGACTTCCTACGTGGGTGTCCGTCGTGAACGGTTAACCCTCTACAATGCCGTTGAATCTCGTTTGCTATGGGTGTGACACTCTGCCGATAAAATGTCTTACCCCTTTCAACACCCTACTTGGTCCGCTTTTCGATCTGACAACGCCACATGGCCTGTAAAGGGGGCCACAGATTCATCCTAGGGGATATCTCAGTAACCATTTTTATCGTGAACTGTGCCTTCAAGCAAGGGTCATTGGTGCTGTGAGTTACAGGAAAAGTAGCACTCGTTAAGGTGAAACCACGCGATTCTCAACAATCGATAGCTGTCAGCAAAAATTTTCCCGGAAAGAATAAATTGGAAACCGTTCCAGAAGTGCGAAGGTAAATTATCTAAGGACTGTGATTGTAGGGTAGAGAATAGTTTTTTGAAAAGGCTGAACAGCAACTCAAGTAGAAAAGGGAAAGTCCTAGTTCCAAAAGTATTCTGTTGTCGTGGAGTCTGAAACGTGACTGCGTATACGCTTTAAACAAAACTATACATTCGCCGAGAATGTATAATACCTGGATTTCCGTTCTTCTACCACTCTGAATTAAACTACAAGCGGGACTATGAGGAGATTTTGACATTTGCTTGTTCTTGTTTATTCTCTTCGGATCGTAATTTGCACTACTAACGTATCTATGAAGTTGCTGCAGTGATTTACTAATTATTTTGGTTTTTCAACCAGGTTCAACCAGGCATGATGGCAGTAATATTTCTTGGGAATAATTTTTACCTGTTATTCTATTTGTTGTGTGTACTAATTTATCAATCATACGCATGGAAATATTCATTCGAGTTACTGATCCTATATGTGGAGAAGAGCACCGTGGTCTTTGATTCTTCACCTTTCTCTTGCTGAAACAGCGTTCGACGATGTTTGTTTAGAACTAGTGAAATGTTTCGAAGGTCGATTTAAACAAGACTGAAGTAATTCGCATCAATAGTCATAGTAATCAGCAATATTCACCAATTTCAGCGTGTTTTCATGCTCTCCTTTGTGCTCTCTCGGCAGTATACTATACTTAGGGGGAAGGTCCGTTACACGCGTCCGTCAAAAGTAGGTCACCCCGCCCACTTCGCGTGCGGCGCTGCTCACTTCGCGTGCGGCGCTGCCCACTAAGGTCCCGAGATGACATTACAGTACCGCTAAGTGAGTGCTAGTGAAGCGAATGGTTCGCATTTGTCCGTGTTGTCCTATCTTCGAGCTGACTGCCGTGGGGGGGGGGGCGATTCACGCGTGACCCCATTAGAGGTCTTCGCGTACGCAGCATCGTTTCAGTACTTTTCTGTGGAGGTGGACCTAATAAGAGTTGCTGTAATCCACGGCTTCACCATGAATTAGAGCAAATCTCTTTACTATAGCAATGAAGCC